CGCAGAGATGCTAGGATTGGGAAGTGACACAGAATTTATCCAAGCTGGGGTAACTCTTCTTTTTATCTCAAGACATCACTTTGATACATATTTTATTTTGTAACTGAGGATCTCTAAAGTCGGTTATAGTGTGATTTTTTGTGCGTTGGCTTTTAGTCTAGTGCTAAATTGAAGTGGCAACTGTGACATACCATAAAGGTTCTTGTTCCTAGTCATTCTTTCTAAAATCCCCACTTTTCTGCCCATAGTCCTCTTTTTGCCTTTGAAAGGGCAGTAACATATGATTGTTCCAATATACACTTTGCAGGTGCGCACAGTGCTGGATATTGGTTGTGGTTTTGGCAGTTTTGGGGCTCATTTGCTATCTTTAAAGGTCATGGCTGTTTGTGTTGCGGCATATGAGGCAACTGGTAGCCAAGTTCAAATGGCCCTCGAGAGAGGTCTTCCTGCAATCATCGGCAACTTCATTTCTCGGCAACTTCCATATCCTACATTGTCATATGACATGGTTCACTGTGCTCAATGTGGAATTGTTTGGGATGACAAAGGTACTTTTGAGTCGCATAACTAATTCTGCTTTTCCCTTGTGAGTTTTCTGTAGGCTTTTGAGCTTTACTCTTTTTTTATTAAATATATTGCTGAACTTGCTATAGTTAAAGAAATTTATAGCTGTATCAGCTGTTATAGTGATTATTTCCATTGCCAGATTGGCTTTGATTTGTTTATGGTCTCTTGCTCTGTGATAAGCAAAAAGTCTTTCTGGAAATTGTAGGAGCCTGTGGTAGGAGCTGATTATTCTTTGAAGCAATGAGTTAAAACCAGTGCAGTGTAAGATGGCATTTGTTCAATCATTCAGCATAAGCTATCATCATGTTGAGCAGGTCCGTTCAATGAATGGGCCTATAGAATAGTGGCAAATAAGCTTTAATGGGGGCGTGAGATTGTTGTCCAAGTCCCTGTCTGTGTCTATAGCCTAATGCCTCTCTTCATTGACCCTTTAGGGTCACCATTGAACACAAGAAGTCCGAAAGCCACAACCGAGTACTTACACTTGAGCAAAAATTCTTGTTTTTAATTATGAAACTAACAGCTCTGCTAAGGTCCTTTTCAAGGTTTCATCTTTTCCATTTACTTGTTGAATTTTGTCTCTCCCTCTTTAATAAGCCCAACGGCTCAGGAAAACAGCAATCTCGTATTATTCAATCTGAAATGGAGCTTTGCTCCTGGACTGTGAAGATGAGGTTGGTGGGTGCGCCTTGTTTGGTTTGTTAAAGACAAACAGTGTGGTTTGTGTCCTTCACTTGCAAATGGTAATTAAACTGTGGCGGTGTCTGGGGTACAGATCACAAGCAGAAAGCCTTTCGATCGAAAACGGCGAGGTTTTAAGGTCCAAGGATGATGGGCAAAAAGGATTCATTTTTGAGAAGCTGTTTAACATTTGTAACAGAGACCAATCATAAGTTTATCTAGGTTTGCTTTTTTCTTCTTGTGTGTTATTGATGTGTCAAATTTGCTCTGTTGAGATGTTGGTCTATGGAGGTAAAAAAAACTGATATAGGTGGAGCCAGGGACCTTGTTGCTTGGTTTTGATGCAAATGGTCATATCACAGGAATGATGTGGCTTTTTGTTGAACAAGTCTAAGCTAAATAAGTTTTGGCAAAAAAAAAAAAAGTCTAAGCTAAATAAACCTCCAATTATTCAAGAAGACATAATATTAAGAATTTCTCTAGTAATCTTGACTAAGTATGCATTATGTTACTAAATGCTTAAATGCTTTTCCTTTTAGCTCACAATAAGCTGTAACATTATTTGGTGGAGCTAATTGCTGACTCTCATTTTTTGAAGCAGATGGGGTTTTCCTTTTAGAAGTAGATCGGCTGCTGAGACCTGGAGGTTACTTTGTTTTAACTGCACCAGTGAATAAGGCACAGGGAAGTTCATTGAGTACAAAAAAGGCAAACATGGTTGTTCCCCTTGAAAAATTCACTGACAAAATTTGTTGGAGTTTACTGGCTCAGCAAGATGATACTTTCATATGGCAAAAAACTGTCGAAGCAAACTGCTATAAATCTCGGTGAGTAGCTTCTGCATAGACTTATACTGTCGATGTTTTCTTGTGTGATCAGGTCTCTAAACTCCACAATTTCAGTTGGATCCTTTGTCATCTATTGACCCTTCTCCTTAATATTCTAATAGCAAGCAGGCTGCCATACCCCTTTGTAAAGGACAGGATCTTCAATCATACTATCAGCCCCTTGTTTCATGTATTAGTGGCATTTCCAGCAAACACTGGACTTCCATACAGAATAGATCATCTGGTCCATATTTGAGTTCAGCAGAGCTTGAATTACATGGTAAGCATTGTTCCATTTCTTTTCCCTCTTTCTTGCTGCCTCAACAGTATTCAACCTTGTTGACAGAGTCCAAATGCTGAAGCAATTATTGATCATCCTGTCATTGCAGGAGTTCAACCCGATGACTTTTTTGAGGACCTGCAGTACTGGAGATCATCTCTGAAAAACTATTGGTCTCTGCTCACTCCTTTGATTTTTTCTGACCATCCAAAAAGGCCAGGAGATGAAGACCCTTTACCTCCATTTAACATGGTTCGGAATGTTATGGACATGAATGCTCATTATGGGGGCTTGAATTATGCGTTTTTGGAAGAAAAGAAGTCAGTTTGGCTTATGAATGTTGTCCCAGTCGGGGCTCAGAATACACTGCCTCTCATTCTCGAGCAAGGTTTTGCTGGGGTTTTGCATGATTGGTAAGTACGATTGGGGGCAGCTTTTGATATAAAACCGTCATAAGCTTCTCTTTCTGGAATCAGGATTGTCTTAGCAACAAGCTCTGTTTATCCTGTAGAAATGCCGAGTTTTCTTTCTGATTGTCAATTGCCAATATTTGAAAACAAAAATCGCTTTTTGCTATATTTGATCATTTTAGAGTTTGAAATTGAGATGGTTGTGATGCCTCATAACAATGGTGATTTTTGTTACTGCATTTATGTTGCTTTGCTTGCTTCCAACTTAACCCACAAAGATATATCTATATGTATTCTTGTCACTCAATCTATATCTGTCACTTTGCAAATGTGTCATTGAGAAAGTGGTCCGTGAAAAGTTATGATAATCAGTTTTTATTTCTTCATGTACTTCTTAAACTCAAAATACTGTTTATTCATGCTGTCTGGGGCTTCAAAGTTTGAAAAACCTGTTCCTCTCTCTCTCTCTCTCTCTCTCTGGTTCTATTTTATATACATTTGAAGTGATTGCAGAAAGCCTAGTAATTATTTTGCTTTAAGCAGGTGTGAACCGTTCCCAACATACCCTCGAACCTATGATATGCTCCACGCAAATGGTCTACTTTCTCATCTCAGTTCTGAGAGGTGCAGCATGATGGACTTATTGTTGGAAATGGATAGAATTCTGCGTCCTGAGGTAGCTTTTTCTTTTTCAGTCTAGAATTTACCTCATTAATTTTGCTTGAACGTGTTTAGAATATCTCATTTGTTTTATGATTTGCTGATCCAAATCTGTTTGTAGCTTTCTTTTCTTTTTCCTTCTTTATCTGATGTATCTAGTGCGGCCAGACCCTTTTGCATGTATTTAATATTGTTATCTTAGATGTATATCAGTATGGGTACCAAGTTAGACTTTGCCTAATGCAAAGAGTTTTTCATCTACTCTTATATGAGTCTTCTCATCTAACAAGTGATTTTTAATATCTGACATTTGATACAACTCTAGGGGTGGGTTGTCCTATGCGACAAAATGGGAGTTATAGAGCTGGCGAGAATGCTTGCCACTCAGATACGCTGGGAAGCTCGTGTGATTGACCTTCAAAATGGCAGTGACCAACGGCTACTTGTTTGTCAGAAACCTTTTGTGAGAAAATGATCAATTCCGCTGCAGAAAGGTTTTCACCATCCAGGAACTGTACATTGTTTTAGCTCAGGTAGTCCTTATCACTCTCTGATCAAGGTCAACAATTTGCAGACTAGTTATCACAATGATTTCTTGATATTTTTTTAGTAATGACACTTTACACCACGCCCTTAGAACAAAGACAGTAGATGCATGGCATTCATCAGTTGCTTCATCTGCAACTCAATGCATCTCTCTTTGGCATCTCATTGAGTACCTAGATTGAAATTCGCCACCGTTCTGCAGAAAAACCTTTCTTCACCATCCTCAAGCTCTGGTGTGCCGATTTTTATGCTTAAGGAAGCGCAGAAATTATAGTCACATATCCTCACTTGAGTTATACTTCCTCATTGGGCATTGCTTTCGTGAGAAATCTGGGCAACGCCTATTGAAGTTGGTTGATCTCGCTGGACTGGATCTCTTCTTTTCAGGTCAATGCTTGAGAGTGAACCAGCCAACGGAATCTCCACACGGCATATTCTTCGGTCCCGAAAAGAAAAATCGGACATCGGCTGCGGCTCAATTGCATGGTGTGCAAACTGTAGATCAAGCGGTTTGGCCCGAAAAGTAGCCGCAATGAGTTTTGTTCAGGCATCTGTAGCAATTCATTCATCCCGTGTTCTCATTTTTTTAGTCTCCAATTTTTTTTCCACCTATCAATTTTGAGATTGATAATTGATCTTATATGTTTGTATTAAAACTCTCGTTTGTCCTGATAATTTTTAGATATCCCCCCCAAAGAAAAAAATTGGAAGTTGTGGGAAACATCGATCATTATTCCCTCTTGATCGGAAGGGGGAACAAGACATAGTCGATTGCCAAATGCCGAGCGAATGACAAAGCTGTAAGAACAATCTTTTCATCTCATAGCAGACCGGTCTAAAGGGAACCGAGAGAATCTGCTTTAACAAGGGTTTCCAAGACAATTTTCTCATAGATTTGAAATTACCATAAGTGTATGCATCGTTCTATAACAAATTAACATGCAGACTACATTTAAATACGCTAGACCAAATACAGGCCATTCCCTTATACTAAACCAATGAAACTAAACAATAGAAAGCCAATACAAATTCGTGCACAAACTCACATTTTGCTTCATCCAATGCCAAAACAAGACATCCAAGTATACATTCTCAGCAAATAGTTACTCATTAGAGCACAGCCATTAACAAGTTACCAACCTAGAAGATTACTTGAAAAACAACTCCAGAAGAAACAAAATTGTGAAATTTGCTCGTATCGGACTGTTCGGGTTCAAGCAGCACCTAGTTCCCGGTTCAAATAATCTACAAACATCCGCTTGGTGCTCTCTGCATCGGAAGGCGGCGGTCGCCCGCTTAAACTCGTTTGCCCCGTCAACTTAATGAAAGTTCGTCGGAGCCTCCGTAGTTCCGGCAGCCCAACGGATCTTGAAATGGTAATAGTCGGCAATCCTACACCAACAGAGATCCCATTTGAAGGCCCTCCCAGGGCCAGGGCTTGTGCTTCCACGATTGCGCTGATCACCTCCTGCGTCGCCCTGTCCAGCTCGTAAAGCGAATTTGCTTCCGAAAACCGCGCATTCTGCGTGGCAATAGTCGGCTGCAAAACCTTGACGTCTCGGGATTTCGAGTCCACCTTTTTCGTCAAGTATGAAATAGCCTCTGCGATGGCAGCAGAAGAATTAGTCACTCCCTCTTTATGCGGCCATAGTTCAAACAAAGGAGAATCCCAACGGTTTCTTCTGTCTGGCCTCTCGAATCTTCTTGCCAGATCCTCAAAAATCTTATCATCATATGCAGCTTCTCCCTTTTCCCTGCGCTCCTCGTTCCACCTTCGACAACATGTTTCCTCCGCATCGCAGAACAGAATGCAGTACCTTATACCGGCAGCGCGAGCCAAGCACCAGAGCTCATACCTGTAGCCCTTGATATTGTTCAAAGAATCGACTATGACGATGTCTTCCTTCGACAATGACCTGTCCACTTCAGACCGGAGGACTCCTCTTAAATTCTTCTCGGCAGGCATATCGGCATAGCTCTGATTGCGATCGAGGTGGAAGGACCCTTCATCAATTATCCTAACAATGGGTTTCGCTTCTGACTCCTTGAGGGCTTCAGCAAGGCAAAGCGCAGCTGTCGACTTCCCGCTGCATGGCTGCCCGCAGATCACAACCAATGCCATCTGCGAATCGATGCTTAGATGGGTCTTCTCAGGGAAGTGCTTCCTGCTCATAGTTCAAACTATTAGGGCTTTGACCCACTTAAGCAACAAATACCTCGCTTTCTCTCGGGCGTTTGTTTATGCTAGAAACAAGAGGCACAAGTGATCCTAAACTACAAAAAACAATGTCTCACGGCATTTAACAGAGATTATTCGACTTCTACTTGAGAATTTGTTAAAAGAGATAGATAAACTCCATGTAGAGTTAACCATAAACATGCAAATCGATGGCGATAGTGCTGCAGCGCAATTCTCTTCGAAATGGATGATATTCCAAGAGACGGCCACAGCACTGTTGCTCCCCCGGATCCCTAAACACTAAACTACTTCTAACGAGCAGAGCTCATCTTCATCTTCACCGTTCTTGTAGCTAACAGTGACACAACATTTAGGATGAACATCAACAGGGTAACGACTTCACAGATCTTGGGTGCATCGCAATACATACTGAATTGCCAACGGGTTGATAAGAATCAGGAAACCAATCTCCGAGGGACATCTCAGCCAAGTTTACGGACCAGATTTCTGAATAATTAAAAGAAGAGAAAAACAAAGAACCTGCGACTAGATGAAAGGACAGGAATTTCTCGCCAATCGGTTTCAGTAATCTGTAACCCACCCAAGAACACAAAGCAGCATCGCAATTATCATCGGACACGTATCAGTTTCGGCAAATAGAGAGAATGATCCACTCATAAACCCCAAGTCAAACAGCAAGAATTCGCAGCGCAATCTGCATAAGCCAAGGAAAAACAAAAAGAAATGGCCGAGAGCTGTACCGGGGGGGGCGCTGGAGAAGAGACAGCAGACCGCAGTTTCGTTTCTGGGGCTAAAGAGGAAGAGTGCATCCGACGACAAGCCTTCCGTCACCGAGCGAATCTCCCCGATCCCCGCTTAGTCCCCATTCCTCTCCGCCGCTTCAGTTCGCTTCTTCTCGTTCAGATTCTCGATCTATATTGACTTCACCGCGGAGAAGCTTCCCCCTCCTCTCCCGTCCAACGCGAAACTGTCGCCGAATCTTGGCCGGAGCTTATCGCCGCCGCCGGAGCATCGTCGCCTGCGGTTGTCTTTAGGGTTGCGGTGGAACGGAAGAACGAAGAAGAAGCACGACGGAAAGGAGAGAGAGGAAGGCAACAAGCGGCACAGGCACCTATCCTCACCTGTTAAATTGTAATTTTAATTATCTGTTGACTGAACATTTTGCTGAGTAATTTTAAATAAGGGAAAAAACCACCAAAAACCCCAAACTTTGCCATCTGTGACACATTTACCCCGAACTTTTTTTTGTGACACCAAAAATCCCGAACTTTGCTTTTTGTGACACATTTACCCCAATGTATTTAGTCCATGGGCATTTTCGTCTTTTCTGCTTTTTCTTTTTTTTTTCCTTTCCGGCGAGGGGGGGCCTCGCCGGCGTCGAGCGAGGGCGGCCCTCGCCGGATCCGGCGAGGCGGCCCTCGCCCGGGCGAGCGAGGGCGGCCCTCGCTCGGGCGAGCGAGGGCGGCCCTCGCCCGGCTCGAGCGAGGTCGACCCTCGCGGCGTCGGGCGAGGGTCGACCTCGCGAGTCCGGCGAGGGCCGCCCTCGCTCGCCCAGCGAGGGCGGACCTCGCCCGACGCCGGCGAGGGTCGCCTCGCCCGGGCGAGCGAGGCGGCCCTCGCACGGGCGAGCGAGGGCGGCCCTCGCCAGGCTCGAGCGAGGTCGACCCTCGCCCGACGCCGGCGAGGGTCGACCTCGCTCGAGTCGGGCGAGGGCCGCCCTCGCTCGCCCAGCGAGGGCCGCCCTCGCTCGCCCAGCGAGGTCGACCCTCGCCGACGCCGGCGAGGGTCGACCTCGCCTAAGTCGGGCGAGGACGCCTCGCTCGCCCAGCGAGGGCGAACCTCGCCCGACGCCGGCGAGGGCCGCCTCGCTGACTCGGGCGAGGTCGACCCTCGCCGGCTGTCGGGCGAGGGTCGACCTCGCCCGAGTCGGGCGAGGGCCGCCCCGCTCGCCCGGGCGAGGGCGAGCGAGGGCGGCCCTCGCCGACTCAGCGAGGTCGACCCTCGCCCGACGCCCGGCGAGGGTCGACCTCGCTGAGTCGGCGAGGGACGCCCTCGCTCGCCCGTGCGAGGCGAACCTCGCCCGACGCCGGCGAGGGCCGCCTCGCCGATCCGGCGAGGTCGACCCTCGCCGGCGGCGAGGGTCGACTCTCGCCCGAGTCGGGCGAGGACGCCTCGCCGCCCAGCGAGGGCGACTCGCCGGCGTCGGGCGAGGTTCGCCCTCGCCCGGGCGAGCGAGGGCGTCCCTCGCCCGACTCAGCGAGGTCGACCCTCGCCGGCGTCGGCGAGGGTCGACTCGCTCGAGCCTGGGCGAGGGCCGCCCTCGCTCGCCCGGGCGAGGGCGACCTCGCCGGCGTCGGGCGAGGTCCGCCCTCGCCCGGGCGAGCTTAGGCGGCCCTCGCCCGATCTGGCGAGGTCGACCCCGCCGGTGTCGAGCGAGGGCGGCCCTCGCCGATCCGGCGCGGGAGGCACGGGCGAGGGTCGACCTCGCTCGAGTCGGGCGAGGGCGGCCCTCGCTCGCCCGGGCGAGGGCGAACCTCGCCCGACGCCGGCGAGGGTCGCCCTCGCCGGGCGAGCGAGGGCCGCCCTCGCCCGACTCAGCGAGGTCGACCCTCGCCGGCGTCGGCGAGGCCGCCTCGCTCGCCCGGCGAGGGCGAACCTCGCCCGACGCCGGCGAGGGCCGCCCTCGCTCGACGCCGGCGAGGGCCCCCCTCGCCGGATCCGGCGAGGCCGACGCCGGCGAGGCCCCCCCCTCGCCGGAAAGGAAAAAAAAAAGAAAAAAAAAAAAAAAGCAAAAAAGACGAAAATGCTCATGGACTAAATACATTGGGGTAAATGTGTCACAAAAAGCAAAGTTCGGGGTTTTTGGTGTCACAAAAAAAAGTTCGGGGTAAATGTGTCACATATGGCAAAGTTTGGGGTTTTTGGTGGTTTTTTCCCTTTAAATAATTTACATAAAGCGGCAAATAATTATGTACAATGGAGCAAATACAACTAACAATTATATGAAATATTTCATCATATTTCCTGTTGGTTCGAAGTTGATGTTTCGCGGGAAAATTAATGATTTTAAAAACATTTCGAAAAAAATAATCGTTTATTTCGTTTAAAATAATTGGTTCATTATCAACAATGATTTATATTTAAACAGTCTCGTTAAGTAATGAAAATATCTTTCGCTTTTTCATTTTTGTAAACAAGATAAGCGATCATTTTTAAGGGAAAATATCTTTTAAGCTATTCACTTTCTGTAAAAATAAACACGCCCTAATTTCTAATATACTTTCGCAACTTCAGTTAACATTCCAACGATGATTTTAATTAAACATTAGTCATCGAGTCTATTGAATTGAACATGACAACACCAAACGCATTCCCATAATTTTCAGTTCAATCAAACGGGCCCAAAGGAAACGTCTCTCTAGAAGATTGTTGGGCTTTGTGGAAATTGGGCCGGTACGGCTAGCGGTCCGTATTGCAAAGGCCCGGCCCAATTTGAAAGGCGGAGATGCCAGTGATCATGCAAGGAGTGGATATGGCTCGAGCCATTTTTTTTTTAATCCTTTTTTTGTCCGTTCAAAGTTGGTCGATCATTCGTAGTTTTGTGTCGTTTGTGTCGCTCTTTTCTTTTTGGTCCTCATTGTTATCAGATCGGTCAATGTGTGCGCGTTTCGCTGCCGAGAACAAGGGCGATTGCCCGACAGAGACGTCGGGGTTTCGAGGGTCGAAATACACGGTTCCCGTGGAGGACACTACTTTGGGAATCCAATGTTGTCCATTTAACTGCCGCATTGAGTTTGAGAATGGGTGTTCGAGTAATCCGGAGTTACATTGGTGCCGTGGTTGGGCGCTCTTAGTTCTTGAACTCGTACCAAATTTTCCAATCAAGTCCCTCGTCCGCCAATTCCAAAAAATTTAAGCACATGTAGTAGTCGAGGCTAGCCAAAAGGAATGATTTGATTGTCCATACATCAGCTTCGATTGTCCATAGTCAGAGACCGGGGGGATTTGCTTGGGGAAAGTCCTATAAGTACAAGGACTCAATTGCAAAAATCGCAAGTTCGAGGGCTACCCTGAAAAAGAGTGTAAGTTAAAGGATCAAATGCACACATTCCCCAACAAAAGACTACACTCATCGAATACCTCTTCCTTTTTTTTTATACTTTTTTTTTCGGTGGCTCAAACGTATAATTTGTATTTGTGCGAGAATTTGGCGTAAAAACAAGAGAAAAGGCGTAGCATGCACGCGAACGAGTATGGTAACAAGTAGACCGCCAATTAATATCCATCATCTTCCAATTAATAATCCATTATCTTCCAAAAAAATATCGTTTTCAAACCGAATAAAATAATTTATTTATTTATGCGTTTCTAAAAAAAGGAATTTATTTCTGTCATTTACTGAATAGAGTGGCTGAAACGTTAGGGAGTGAACTTAGCCTAAAATGCCTTGGTATCTAATGGGGGATTCTATCTGGAAGCACGCTTTTGGTTTCTTCATTGCCTTCTCTCTAACTCTTTGATAATGCTTAGAAGTATGCTCAAACTTGGGTCATTTTTAAAATATAAAATCTGGGTTTTTTTAGCATCGTGATGTGGGAGTTTATGCAATTAATTAGTTCTTGATTTAAAGCGAGAAGGAAGATCTTTTGAAATCTCGGTGTACGTCTTACAAGACTATGCACGATAATTATAAGCAAGGAGTAAAAGGCATTGATTTATCGATCGAGGAAGAAGGATATGGAGATATCGATCAAAATCACGAGATGATTATTGGAAATGCTGGAATCAAGCGATTGACACCTCTTGTAACATAATAATCTCTTCATTTATTGTTTTCCATTATTGTATTGTTTCCTTACAAAATGTAACATTTGTAATGTCTTTATATAATGGAAATCATCTCAATAGTTGTAACGTAATAATCTCTTCATTTATTGTTTTCCATTGTTGTATTGCTTTCTTACAAAGTGTAACATTTGTAATGTCTTTATATAATAGAAATCATCTCAATAGTTGTAACATAATAATCTCTTCATTTATTATTTTCCATTGTTGTATTGTTTCCTTACAAAGTGTAACATTTGTAATGTCTTTATATAATTGTTGACACCTATAATTGATTAGGTTGTCGACAACCGAAATAAATAAAACAATAGACGTCAAAGGATGATGTAGGCCGTACGAGACGATTCATAGCTGGCAAACACTGGGAGATACCGGCGAGAAATTTGAAATTAAGAGAGCTTGAGAGCAAGCGCCAAAGTTGTCAACGAAAATTGTCATCGAGGAAGTCGACAAGGAAAAGGACAGGTGTCAAGCCAAGAAGAGTTCGATGACGGTTCCCGCTTCGGGAGGACAGATGTCAAGCTAGGAAGAGTTTGACGATGGTTCCTGCCTCGGGAGAACAGATGTCAAGACAGGGAGAGCTCGATGACGGTTTCTACTTCGAGAGGACAGATGTTAAGCTGGGAAGAGTTCGACGATGGTTCCTAGCTCGGGAGGACAGATGTCAAGCCAAGAAGAGCTCGACGACGGTTCCTGCTTCAGGAGGACAGGTGTCAAGCCAGGAGGAACTCGACGACGGTTATCATCCCAAGAAAGACAGGTGTCAAGCTAGGAAGAGCTCGACGACGGTTCCTGCTTCAGGAGGACAGGTGTCAAGTCAGGAAGAACTCGACGACGGTTCCTGCTTCGAGAGGACATTTGTCAAGTTAGGAAAAACTCGACGACGGTTATCATCTCGGAAAAGGACATGTGTTAAGATAATACGAGCTCGATGACGATTACTGCCTCGAGAAGAACATGTGTCAAAACAATACGAGCTCGATGACGGTTACCGCTTCAAGGAAGACATGTGTCAGACAGTATGAACTTTATGAAGGTTATCACTTCGGATAAAGGATAAGATCGATGGCAATTGACGGACAGGTGTCATTAGATGGATGGTGAAGATGAGATCAACGGTGGCCATCGAACGCGGTACCAAAGGCGGTTACCAAGCTCACATTATAAATAGTACCCGGCTGCCAGAAGAAAGGCCCCTCGCGCATACAAACTAAAATGCTGTCTTTTTATCTTTACTTTTCAGTATCGCACTTTATCTTTCGGTAGCTATAGATGTTCACTTTCTAAGTCAGAAGCTTTGTAATATTACATCGATGAACTCTGGACGCCGCCAGTCATTGGACGGACTCGTCTGAGTTGTTTATGAATATAAGTCAAACTTCGTTATTGTGCAAAATTTGAGTTGTTAATCAAGACAATCGAACTCTTTGTTCATGCTTGGATAACTCCTATCCGAAATTAGACCCAGAACCCGGTCCCATCTCAATAAAAAATCGAAGAACGACTTTCGGTGAATTATATTTCGCCGTAGGACCATTTCCGGCGAAACAATAATGGAAATCATCTCAACAGTTATATGTTGAGATCAAGAATTAAACACATTTTATTCTTTTACAGTATCGGAGCATATTTTTGAAAGAAATCAATTCTTAACCATGGCTTCCGCTAATCCTAAGTATCCATATCAATGCCTTTAGAGAGAGAATGTTATAATTGTCTGGTTATATCATGATTCGTGTATAAATAGTAAGATTTGGCTACAAACTACCCGGTTGGACATATTACAAGAGCAATATTTAAGAATGTCCGATTATGTCGTTATATATAAATAAAAAAAATTTAATTTGGCTACACACGACACGATATAATCCATCGTCACATTAGAAGAATTAGAATGTGTAAAATGCGATTCAAGTATTTAGTAATTGACAGATATATAGTTATAAAGCGCTTGCGAAGCATGGACGAGAGCATTAGTTAAATAAACAAGAAGAGGTTAACGAAAAACCCTACAGATGAAATGATTCTTGGAAAATGCACTTTATACATGAAAAGGAGTAGAAATGACGGTTACGTTTATTTCGCGAAAAATGAATGATTTAGAAAATATTTTCTTAAAAATAATCTTACAAAAATGAATGAACGAAAATTTTTTTCGTCATCCACGAAAATGTTTAGACATAAATTATTTTTGAAAATAAAATATTTTTTATAACTAATTATTTCAAGCGATATAAACGATTACTTGCAAAAAATTAATTTTCAAATCATTCATTTTCTTTGAAACAAACAAAACCGACAAGCAATGTGACGAATCTATTTTAAGGCTTTTAACCATGTGAATGTTTTCGATCTCGGAGTCGATCACGCGACCGTTTATTTTAAGAGACGAACGAGTTTACACTTTATAAGTTAAGAGATGCTTCAAAGTTTGGATAAGGAAAGGTAACTTGATTAATCGGCTACTAAATCCCAAAGAAAACAAGTTGGATCATCGTTAATTAAATGTATTTGCAGGTGTTTCTAAAGGCAACACCCGAAGGACCGCAACTAGCAAGAGTATTCTATAAAAGTCACTTGCGAGTGGAATAAACATGGAACGTGCAAACAATGTGGAACTCGAAGATCGGTCGTCATTAGTGACACCATCTTTCAATTCTTTTTATCGACTTCCTTGTAGAATGAGGTTGTCCCTAAGTTGAGATTTTCATGCATGATGTATCGAGCCAATCGGATTAATTTTCATCGACCCACACCATGTGGTAAGTTATTGATATGTTTCTCCATAATAGCTCGAGCTTTTAGAGTCAATGGTTTCGCGCCGGCATTCGATTTCATGTTGGTATTAGAGACCAGAGCTCTCGACTTCGATTCCGTAGTACCTCATTTCACCCGTTTATGGGTTTCCCTTTCATTATTCGTCAACAGTCGTTTCAATGATGCGTAGCGGGTTCGCTCGCTCGCTCGAGGTCTTCATCATCGGATCGCCTTTCGCGTGAGGCGGAGCGTTAAGATATAAATATATTCCTCACCATATACACTAATAACTTAAAAATATTAGAGTAAAAAGGGTTGCACACTCAATTTTCAAGATAGGAACAAGATAACCTGTTTCTTCTCAAATTCCACAAGAGAAAAGTCAACATGGTTCAAGTGGAAATTGTCTTGGATTAAGAATGAATCAAAAGCAACGGCCCAATGGAGACGAATCGTGGATGGTCTACCTTAAAAGGAAACGCAACCGCAGAAGACTTTAGGATAAGAGAAAGACATCACACATGCGGTCAGCATCTGTCAAATGGGATGTTGCTTCGACCGCCTCCCATTCGATTCCATGTGCTCGATTGACAAAGCTTTGCTGGAAAGATAGAGTCTTTGTGGTATCTCACATCATTTTACTATGCAAAAAGTGATAAACATGACCTAGCTAGTGAGTATACGAGATTTTTCTTGCAAATTTTCTCAATCAGCTCAACAAAATCCACGATTTGAATAGTGTCGGAGAGGTTAAATTGAGTTGGTATGTGAGTTTGGATTCAATGCGATTTCAAACTATATAATGGGTCGATTCATTTCTCTGTTTTCTCGTCTTTGTAGCTACTATAGTTTATGTACGATCGGCTCTCTCTCCTCCCATCACAAGGTCCACCGACTCGATTACTAACCTCTCTTCTTTGGAACAAGAGAGATGCCATCAAGCAAACCATCAATCGGCGCTTGTCGATCTTAATTAACCAATTCATCAAAAGTCATCCCAATGCAATAGAGCCTTCCGATGGGCCAACTCCGGCCATGGAGCCGAGCTCACTCTCCTCGGTAGCGATAGGGCCGCGAACATCCCGCGAAAATTGTTGGATATTTATGCAATTTTGAAATATTGTACCGGTTTTGATTGTAGTTATGACCGTCATGAAAGCCATCATTGTACTGGTTTTGCAAGCTGTCCAACGAATTTATGATGGCTTTGGAAAGTTTGATTTATTTCTTCATAAAACCTCCATTATTTTATGACTCATGATAGTGGTTATGACAGTCATGAAAGCCATCATTATAATGGTTTTGCAAGCTTTTTAAGGATTTATGACTGCTTTGTAATGTTCAATTTATTTCTTCGTAAAGCCTCAATTATTTTATAACGGCCATATAATGATCACCTTTTTAATAATTATCAATTGTTTTATGACGGTTCTTAATGGCTCTCTTTCTTTTACTTATAAATTGTTACTTTGAGCATAATTGAAAAGTGATTATATGCATATCAAAATAATAATATTCTTTGTTCTTTTTTTTTTATTTATCTTTACTTTCTTTACTGGGTTATACACATAGCGTTGTTCCCGTTCCTTTATAATATTCAGTGCGAAGTATAGAGAAAGGTATGTTGTATCTTAAGAGGATAATCACTAGAGCTTAACGCACCAAGTTTCGTATTCCGAGAAACAGACAGATTTATCCTAAAGGACAAAAGTTACACTCGTATGACGATTAATCTTATTTTCTCATCTTTTTCAACATATTTCCGGTAATTGTTGTTTTTATATTATCTACTACTTTTTCCAACAAAATCGTCACCAAAACTTCCATCCAAAGATCCGAGATACTCCAACAAGGTAAGGTAGACACCATTTTCTTTCCCCGAAATGGAGGCAAAATGAATGCAAAGATGCGAAGGTCGGCATGGGGAAGGGATTGTGGTACATGTAAATCCAAGATGTAAGGATGGATATAATCTAAGAGCATAACGTAGATAGATCCAAAAGAAACACGATTTTAGCAGCAAAGCCAAGAGGTGGTGGGGGTAGTGGATGGAGGCTACTATGCTGGTAGCAGATGCCGCGAGAGAGACGCCCCGCCGCCCCAAAAAAAGAAGGGCAAAAAGACAAGAACGAAGGCAAATCTGATGTTGTTCCATTACTTTCTTTCCTTTTCTCTTTCTTTGTCTTTTGGGCCAATGTTTATTTACCTTTCCTCCTTTTCTTGTATGAACAAAAGGAGGAAAAAAAAATCAAAAGGGGGGGTGTGAACTCAAAACTCAAAGACGCGCCACATTTCAACATTCCACCACAACACAAGACAACACAACACAAAGCCAACCTGTCTCTCTCTCTCTCTCTCGCTATCTCGCTATCTCTCCAACCCCACTACTACTACTTCTTCTTCTTCTTCTCGCATTGGCCCATTGAACTTTTGCCCACCACTTGCATCTTCACCTCACGACCATCTCTCCCTCCCTCTCCCTCTCCCTCTCCCTCTCCTATAAAAAGTCCGAATCATTTGCCCTTTTTTTCTTGCGGAGTTTACACATTCACGAAATCCATTCACCCCTTTTATAGCTTCCACCTTTTCCTTGCTTTTCCTCTCTCCCTCTCTCGTGTCTGTCTGTCTTCTCTTCTTCTTCTTCTTCTTCTTCATCTTCCTGTGGACGACTGAACAATCACACTTATCACCTGTGTGATTGACAACAGCACGGGTGGCGAGAAAACAGAGGGCGATGGAGGCGACGGCCCTGAGGAGTCGTCCGCGAATGGCGGCTTCGGTAACGATGGCAGGCTTGCTTATGGGACTCCTTGTCCACGCATGCTGTGCCGACACCACCACCATCAGCCGGTCCAGCTTCCCCAAAGGTTTCGTCTTTGGCACTGCCTCCTCCGCTTTCCAGGTCCCCCCCCCCTCTCTCTCTCTCTCTCTCTCTCTCTCTCTCTCTCTCTCTCAATTTGGTTTTGTCGTCAATTCATTTCACGAATTGGTTTTATCTCCTTCGTGAATGTTTCTAAATGCTGATGCTCCATTTAATTATACGTTCGAACACATCACAGTCATGTACCGCATGCGCACTCAATCTAACACGAAACCACGAGAGGTCCGCCTCGATCTCACGTGAGACCTACCGGACTTAAGATTTCGGGTGCGTTAGGTTCGTCTCATGTGTTAGGATCTCCCATCACGTCAAAACCCACGGAGCGACTTCGAGCTTATCTTATGTTCACCGGATGCTCGCTCAAACACCGATTCCATACGCGCCCATCCTCTCGTCGTCGTAGATCGGGTTTTCGCACACCGTCGCTGCTCAGAGATGTTCACGTCGAACTTCCTTTTCCCGTTGGTGAAGGTCTTAGGAATAAAATCCAGCCGGTGACTCGTTTTTTTTTTTTGGGTTTTCCGGCGAAAGCGACGGGAGTGTGTCGTGGCTTAGCTTGGTATATCTTGACGATTTAGTGACGAAGTGAGCCCCGGAGGCTTTTGTGCTTTAGCGACTAAAAGTTGGACGGGACGGGACGGGACGGGACGGAACAGGAGAGAATGCGTCGACTTCGAGTCACCCATTGAAGTCGACGCATTCAATGGGTCATGGCCCATGGGAGACTGGCGCAAATTTTGGGCGACCTTACCTTGCACGTTCCTGTAGACCAAAGTCACGTCATTTCTTTTGCGGGAAAAATTGAACTAAATTATGCATAATCAAGATATGATATTATATCCCAAGATACCCTCTTAGCCATTCACTGTTTAGATTCTCTAAAAAAACCATCCGTTCTTCCTGTACGGATAAAATTCGATTCGAGAATTACCGAATGATCGAGAGTCCGTGCTTGGTTAAGCGCCTCGCGCATTGGAATATCGAGAATTGAGGCTAATTTAGATAGAAAGAGATGGAATGTGTGGAAGAGCCCGTCACGATTCGCTACTCGATCGGCGTAAGATGTGCACTGAAGCTGTATCATTGAATGTGGAGATCTGGACACTCTCTTGTCGGGATGAACAAGGGACGGTTTACCTGGGTTTGCGTGATGGACGCTGGCCGGCCAGGGCCAGCTCAGTGGTCACGGGACGGGACACGGATTGGTAGAAATTATGTTTGACTGTGAACATAGAGTACTCGGAAACTTCGTTGACTTTTGTATAGACTTTGGTGGGATTGTTTGATTTCTTATATTCCCAAACCAACGGTGAACATGCAACCTAGGATTGATGTTTTGCATATGTTGTTCTTTATCTTAATATTGGGGCTTAAAATTTTTTTCTTTTCCTCTTAGCAAAAAACGCCTCCAAAAATTATCAAATCATACCTACCGTGACACCTTTACCTAAAATTTCTTCTTGTGACACCGGAAAATCCCAAGCTTGTACCGCGTGACACATTTATCCTACGTCAATATTCGGTCAATTAGCACGGTTAAAAATTTGCCTTCATGGATGGCTGAAGGCAAACTAAAAAAAGGAATAATCATCTGACTGAACCTTGATGGAGGGTAAATGTGTTGTGTAGGTATAAGTATGTGATTTTTAATGTTACAAAAAAAATTTAGAGTAAATGTGTCATGGTGGGTATAATTTGGAGCTTTTTATGCTGTAATATTTTTTAGGATAAATATATCACAGTGAATATAGTTTAGGGTTCTGGTTTTTTTTTTCCTTTCCTTTTATATATATCTTTGGTGGGCACTTTCGAAGGTATTTTCGTCGTAAGTTTGATACTTGAACAGTTGTGACTGATGGGAGTTTGTTTCCTTTCTGGAATCAGTATGAAGGAGCTGTGAAAGAGGACGGAAGGGGACCATCGGTTTGGGATACATTTTCGCACCAATTTGGTAATTATCATAGCAATTCTTTTTACTCTCACCTTTTCTTGCTCATTTTAATATAATTAAGTCCAAAACAATTATGGCGCCTGGCAAAAAGTAAATTGAAACAATTGTAATTATCAAGGTGTTTCGTTTTTATTGATTTCGTGTTTGGTAGTATGGAATGAAGGCGTTCCCTCTTAACCAAACGGACTTTCGCGAAGAATGAATGATATGAAAAATATTTTCCTAAAAATGATCGCCTGTATCGCTTAAAATAATTAGCCAATAGAAAATACTTTCATCAGCGACGACAGTTTATGTCTAGGAAATTATTTTCGTGGGCGGTAAAAGTATTTTCCGTTTATTCGTTTTTGAAAGCGATATGAGCGATCATTTCTAGGAAATTATTCATTTTCCGCGAAACAAATGGAGCCTAATTAGTGTCGTACATAATCCACAATTCATAAATCACACAGATTTGTAGATTGTTTCGTCGGTGTAATCAGTAAACTCGCATTTGGCCGCAGGTAAAATACTTGATTTCAGCAACGCGGATGTCGCCGTGGATCAATACCACCGGTTTAATGTAAGCTTCTCTTTGGAAAACCAGCTATAAAACATTTTTCCATGAGCAAGAACAATGATAAGACACTGAATCCAAACTTAATACCAGTTGAAGATCACGTTGGCTTGGCTTGCAAGCTGATACTACCATTTAACTGAGCGTCAGTTTGTTTAGTGCTGTATGGACTATAGCTTAGAATTGATCACAAGCAAGCTACAGAAGAAGCAGAGCCTGTTTTCGTCGATTTCCTTCGCGTCGTAAGAGAAATTCACCGTCTTTTGTTTCCTTTCTGGGCTTCATAACTGCAATTCAGGAAGATATTCAGCTCATGAAGGACATGGGAATGGACGCCTACAGGTTCTCGATCTCTTGGTCTCGCATCTTTCCTAGTAAGAGACTAGCTTTTACGCATGCTTTTGGACTTTGTGAAGTTGTGATGATCACCATTTACCTCATTCTCTTGAATTCTGGGGCAACTGATGTCATGCTTCTGCGAATTTAGGCGGAAGTGGCGAGATCAATCAGGCAGGAGTCGACCACTACAATAAACTCATCTACGCGTTATTGGCTAAAGGTAAACACGCAATGAGCCGTACGAACACAATCACAAGCAAAAGCACTGTTATCATGACTTTCCTTTTGCAATATATGTGAAGCAGAGTCATGAGTTAGCCATAACTTGGTTTTTTCCCCTTTTCTGGCCAAAGTCTCTGGCATTATGGCGCTTGAAAAATTCCAATAGTTTATGTACTTCGCATACCGTATGTCGTCTGCGTGTAGTACTTAAAATGGATGCATGTCAATCTCTGTAATGGCAAAAAGCTGAAGGAGAAGGGAAGAACTTTGGTTTTAAGCAGAGCATATTAAATGGGTATGGTCATCGCAGGCACAGAAATCATCCGAGAATTAAAAAGACTAACAACAGTCGCCTCTTTAATAATGCTGCAAGAGCAGGGATTGAACCATACGTGACTCTATTTCACTGGGATCTTCCGCAAGCTCTGGAAGACAAGTACAACGGATGGCTCGACCCACGAATCATGTGAGTTGCGCAGATTTCTCCTTCCTGTGATGAACGTATATGTATTACCAAATAAAGGACTTAAAATTCGAATAGAGCCTAGAGGTTGACTTTTTTGTTGTTGCTATTACTGCAGAAAGGATTTTACAACATATGCCGAGACCTGCTTTCAGAAATTCGGGGACAGAGTGAAGCACTGGATCACCTTCAACGAGCCGCACACTCTGGCAATACAAGGATACGATGTCGGACTTCAAGCGCCGGGCCGTTGCTCCATCCTTCTTCACCTCTTCTGCAGGGCTGGGAACTCCGCGACCGAGCCTTACATTGTTGGGCACAACGTTCTGCTCTCACATGCCACTGCCGTCGATGTGTATAGAAAGAAGTACCAGGTCTGTCATAAAATGAAAGTCATCATATCAACATAACCACTCATTTGGTTTGTTGTCCATTCCAGTTGCTTATATTTTGCTCGAAAGACTAAAGTATACCCTTATCGACTCCTTATGCGCATTCCTAATTTGAATGTTAACATGCCAACTTTTTTTTTTTTTGGGTCGAACTAACATGCCAAGTTACTAAGCTGTTTAGTTATCCTGTCCAGAAAAAGCAGCATGGATCAATTGGTGTAGCCTTTGATGTGATGTGGTTCATACCAAGAACAAACTCAACTGATGACATCGAAGCAACTCAGAGAGCCCAAGATTTTCAGTTTGGCTGGTAACAAACCATAGACACTTTCCGGGTTTAATAAATTTAGGAAGATAATCCTTTTGAGTGCGCGTGCGCAAGATGTGTTGAGACCATGAAAATATCGTAAGTATGAACTATGCAAGTAAAATATCGGGGTAATAAGTGCTATTTGTTTTTCACGGTAATTGCAGGTTTATCGACCCGTTAATCTTTGGAAATTATCCAAGCTCCATGAGAAGTAGGGTGGGAAGCCGCTTACCTGCATTTTCCAGTTCCGAATCTGCTCTTCTAAAGGGGTCTTTGGATTTTGTGGGTATCAATCACTATACTACATACTATGGCAGCAATGATACGTCTGATGTAATCGGACGTCTACTTAATGACTCCCTCTCGGACTCCGGCGCCATCACTCTGCGTAAGTAACTTCTTAGCATATCTGGAAGTTTTAGTTGTTTGGGTCTTCTCTTTTTAATTTTGGTGGTACTAAGTTTTGTTTGCTGCTGTTTTCAGCCTTTAAAGATGGGATTCTCAATCCAATTGGAGACAGGGTATGTTAGTTCACAGCACAGCAAGAAACTTTCAATTTGATTATGGCAAAGAAAATCTAGAATTAAGTGTATAGTTCAAATGATAACTCGTGATGTATTTTTAGCAAAGCATGATCTCTCTCTCTCTAGTCATTTTTCCCATTAGAACTATCATGTGAATGTCGATCTGCAGGCAAATTCCATATGGTTGTACATAGTACCCCAGGGGATCAGAAGTTTAATGAACTACATCAAGACAAAGTATGGGAACCCGCTGGTTATTATTACCGAAAATGGTAAGTCCCTCGAGCCAAAAAGAAAAAGGCACCTAGCATACAGATGCTTTCTTTCTTTCTGTAATATCTTCATTGAAGTTGATGGTCTTCTTAATCTAGTCATGACATACTGATGAAGAAAAGATGCTCAAATCCGTTGCCTTAGTCTGTTTTAACTGGGTCTTTGCAGGTATGGACGACCCGAACCCCCCACTAATCAACATTAAAGATGCTCTCAAGGATCAGAAGAGGATCAAGTATCACAATGACTATCTCACCAACTTGTTGGCCTCTATCAAGTGCGTAACTAGTTCCATGCGCTTTCTTTCGTTTTTTCAGTCGAAACTGAGCTCTTTCTATGTTGTTCTCTCCCTAACATTCTGCTTAAAACCGAATCAGAGAAGACGGATGCAACGTGAAAGGGTACTTCGCGTGGTCTCTGTTGGATAATTGGGAGTGGGCAGCCGGATACACTTCGAGATTCGGCCTTTACTTTGTGGATTACAATGACAAGCTGAAGAGATACCCCAAGGACTCTGTTCAGTGGTTCAAGAACTTCTTGAAGTCAACCTAAACAATTAATGAAGATGAAGGAAAGCTGCATTTGTTCACTTACACGACCCAACATCTGACACAGTGCTCATTCGTTTTCTTCTTTTTCGGTGGGGACACATGATCTCATTTCACCATATTGTTACATCTCAATAATTTTAGAAATGTTTGTGTTTGAAAAGAAAAGGGAAAAAAAGAAGAAGAAATTTTAGTTCGTGTTCCATAAGTAGAATTTGAAAGCTTGTGACAAACTGTGGATTATTTCAAGTAATATTAGCTTCTGGATTTCCTTGCATAATGCTATTCACTAATTACTCCTTCAATAGATGGAAATGAAAGAATTGCTCTGTTATTCTACATACCCTTTTCGCCTGCTCTCACGATGGGTCCTTCCTCAGTAAAATCTGTAAATCGATAGACAGCATGCTCCAACTTGAGTTGCTAGGAGATTATAGATGGCATTAGCGCGGCGGGCTTTCCAGTCAGCCAGTGCGACATTATGCGATTGGACAATCTTACCATCGCTAGTAGTAACTCGAAACGACAAGCTTTGTCCGACCAACGACACCGAGCATTGCCAGTTCTGGCCCCAGTTTTGTGCCATCGGTCTCCATTCGGATCCCGAACCCTTGACCTTAACCTCCTTGACATTGCCGGCTCCTCCCACATTGTACACCAAGACAAGAATCCAATCCGAGTTCCCCTTGATCTCGAACTTGACACCTCCTGACCTATCAAAATAGGGCTCGGCGGTATAAGATAGGGACAAAGCCCACCTCATAGTTGGCGATTTCACCAAACGCGGGCTGTGAGAGGTCAAAGTGCTGATTGGGCAGGTTGCGCCATTTCTGTCCGGATTGGCGGCTTGGAGGGCATAGATTGGTGGCCGTGACATGGATGGTGTTGTTAGAGGCACCGCCTTGGAGAGTTGTGGCACTTGATCTCATAGCAGGCTGCACAAGTGAGGCCTCCATGGAAGGGGGCTGTGCTTAGAGCTGCTGTCTCAAGGCCATATCCACTTTCCATGGGGTTCCAATAGCCACAGCTTCCCTCTGCATTTTACATGTTATGGGGATGACTCAAGCACTGAGATACAGGGTAATATTGGACATGCTAATTGCTTTCACAGCAATTAGCTAATGGATAGTTTTGGCAAGGTCTACGGCTCCATTTTGTTGAGCTGCGTGTGAATCTTTCAAAGTATTCAGGAGATAAAAGTACGCACGATGATAAAATGAGAGAGGCGTTACCACAACCTAGTACGCAAATAATAACTTCTCGCGCTATTTTTTTCCCTTAATTGCTAAATCTGCTATCTCTAAATAAGGGTGAGTCGAGAAAGAAGTGATCAATGTAAGTCGAAACTCAGTTTTTGGGATCGGCTCATGAACACGAGCTGTTTTACCCTATTACTACTTTCCTAGGGAAAGAACGTGTTAGGCGTGTTGTGATGACGTGAGACGCCGATCCAATCGAGTGCGAGAGTGTCCGATATCCATTTACGACGACCTTGTTGTCTCGTGAACTTAGACAAATAAACAAATTTGCCCAGAAAAGCTTATAACATCCCAGGTTTAGGCGATGACGAAACTACCTAAGACCAACTCATTGTTTCAGCGCCTTTCGTGTCTCCATAGTATGTGGCACGTGCCGAACTCCATCCGTCTCGGCTCGCAGCAGAGCCAGCGAGGCACAGAGCCACGACCACGATCAAAGCATCATTCATTGGACCACCCATGTCAACCTTTTTTCCGACGATCGGTTCTTTTCAGCACCTTAATGAAATCAGAAACTTGCAGGGTTTTCTTATATATGGCAGTCGTGACAAGCAACAAGGCGCATCCCAGTTATACGGAATCACATGTTTCTCGTTCATCAAAAGGATGAGAAAGAGCATCCCTTCTGAACTAGATTTCATAGGAGGCATCGCGTTGCTCTACATTGCAGAAAGGTTTTGCATTAGGCTTTACGTTCATGAGCAACTTTCAGGATCTCAAGACTCCCAATGCGGTCGAAGAAGATGTCGTGTCAGACTTTTGGACGATGTGTTGAGCAGCATATATATGGAGGGCCTACCATGATACATGTATGTTAACCCTAACAGGTCAAACAGTTCTTTCAGTTGTCTTTTTATTTCGCTTTCAACCTGTCGAAACCGTCGAAAATTAGCCGTCGCCTTCTTTGTTTGATTCGACAAAAAGAAAGGTCCTTTGTATTTTATTTTCCCATGAAAAAGAAATTAATTGCGATTTTTTGAAAAGCTTATGGGAAAAAATTCGAGATAACACCAAATGCTCATATGCACATGATTCCCGTGATTTAAGGTGTCCGATATTTTAGGAAAACTAAACTTCTGACAAAAAAAATATTTAAACATTAAAGTCGCTTCGAATATTTATTATGTCGGGTGTTTTTTTTTTCTATAATCATTCTCTCGAAAATTACCAAAAAAGTCATAAATCTATTATGCGGATACTTTTGATGGCATATAACGAGGAGAATTCAGACTAATAATGTGGACTCGCTTCCTCGTGCCATTTTCTTTGTTCTTTTGATTTCGGTGTATAACCATGCAATGACAAAATTACCAAAAAAGTCATAGTCCTTTTGTGCGGCGTCTAATTCAGTCATGAACCTTTTAATTTGGCCAATTTAGTCATAAATCTTTCAACTATTTGTCAATGTAATCTTTCTAGTCAATTTCGGCTGGAAATCGCTTGTCCTATTTGGCATAGCAGGCGTTGATGTGATCAATTTTTTTAAATTTTTTTAAATTTTTATTTAAAATTTTTGTTCTCTTTCCGACTCGGCTACTGGGCAAGAGGCGCGAAGCCCTCATGGAAGCGGGCAAGGTTCAGCCAGCGACCTTCACCGGGCTTACCTCACCTGCCCACAGTTGAAAAGAAAAGAAAAGAAAAGATTTAAAAAATTAAAAATTATTTACGTTAGTGTTGACAGTTACATGTAGGACAACCGGCATTCACGTCAATAATTGCCAATCAAAATTGATCGAAATGACTACATTGACAAATTGTCGAAAGATTTAAGAATAAATTGGTCAAATTAAAAAGTTTAGCACATGATTGGCTGTCAAATAATAGGTTTAAGACTTTGTTTGGCATCTAACATGCATGCCATGCATCTTCTCCTTATTTCCCGACAAAAATGTAATGTTTAAAACCAGTTTTTGTATGAATCCAATGTTTCATAGTTTTTATCATCATATCATCTTACATTACGCTATGATAGGCTCACATGATTTCGATGCATCTTAAAATCTTTTCAAGTAGATCGGTTGAAAAGAAGCATCGCCAGCTGACATTTTCGATCACCAATTTCTCCTCGATTCTTCACAAAACGTAATCTCGAAGCATCGAGAACTCGTCAAAAAAGGAAAAAAAAAATAAAAGAAGAGAGGAGAACATTTTGTGCAGAGAAAAACTTACCAGAAAGGAGTTTTTTCTTTAAGTTATTCATCTCATGGGCCTAATCTAGGAAAAAGTCAAACAGCTAATTATGACACTACACTAAACTAAACTAAAGTTCTATCTTTATTATTACTATGCATCACATCCCTTTCGCCCTTAGTCACCTCCAAAATCCACAGACACTGAACTCCATCTCTCCACTCCTTCAATGGTGATTGGCTCTGCTCCGGATCAAGTCAATGCATCTGACGCATGGGCGTCAGTGGATCGACATAACGCGGCACTCCATGGCAAATCAAGTGTCATCGCTTTCGGTTTAGAGCATCAGATGATGATGATGATGATGATGATGATGATGATATTCTTTGAGGGGGGGCTCGGTGGGAGCTAGGACGAGACCTTTCAATGGCGATTTGACGTGCGACCTGTGGGAGTCCGTGGGGACCTCCACGAAAATTTGCAGATTAGAGAGGTCGAGAACAGAGGGAGATCTTGTTCAGTGGAGTACACCAGATGTGCATATGACCCCATCTTTCTCGAGATTATTGGTGGGGACTGGGCGTCTTTGTGTTGAGTCCATCGCATCACAAGTGTCAATGGCTAAAAAAGATTAGACAAACAGGAAAACCAAAAGAACAACAAAACAGAAAGTGGGTCAAACAGGATGAGGCGGTCCGATGGACAGCACGTTTTTCGTCCCAAAGAGAAAAAGGGATAATAATACAGGCGATTCACAGACTTTAAATTTATTAAATGTATTTTCCGAATTTTAGCTCAATATAACTTTTAATTTATTCAATATAATATTTAAATTTTTGGTACATGTTTAATTTAATTCCCAGATTATTTGAAAATATTTAATGCTATTTAATTCAAGTTCAGGAACAACATTAAATATTTTCTAGACTAAATTGAATATAAACCAAAATTCTAAAAACCGCATTGAATAAATTTAAAGTTCAGATTTGACATTGCACATTAGGCCAAAGTTTCGAGATCACATCGAACAAATTTAAAGTTTAGAAACTACATTGCACATTAGTCCAAAATTTAAAAATCATCTGTGTCATTTATCCAAGATAAAATACAAAGGCACACTTGGCTGGTCAAATCAATAAGCCCTAAAACTAGACAAAGTATGTGTGCCAATGTATATCGAGATTGATTTTGCGAAATGATGTGACGATATGCGCGATAAACATCTAAAATCAAGTTTGTTAAATAAGGATTCGTGGTTAAGTGAAATGATCGAACGCGTTCGCATGATCAATCAATGGACGTTTTGACTCGTCGATGGGGGGCACCTAGCGCAAAAGTCTACAAAATTTAGAGGAAATAGCGGATCATAAGGCGTGGTCAATGATCGTTCCCAAGTTCGTGATTGAGAAGAAGAAAGGCGAGAATGAACGTCAAGAACCAAAAAAACAAAAAAACAACAAAGCACGTAACAATAAGCAAAAGTGCTAAAAACCCAATGTAACACGTCAAAAGTTCCTATAATGGAGGAGTCATGCACAATAATAACAGTAACGACCCACGATAATAATAATAATAAAAATCATAATGATTAAGATTGTTGTTATCGTTAGTCAATCCTGAGAAGGACTGGAGGGTTCTTGGTCAACTGGTGCATGCACCTTCGTGAGGGAATATTGGGACAGTGCAGTGCAGCAATTGGATGGAGGAGGGAGACAATAACCCAGCCAATTGTTTTCATCATCATTATGTCCGATGTGAACCCCTGTTTTTAATCCATGTTTCGTTTTCAACCCCGAGTCTTATCATCAGTTTTACCATCTCTTTGTTGTCCCCCCTTACTTTATCGCTTGATTCTCGAGCGCATTAACGT